TATTTTATGAGAAATAGTCTGTATTTCTCATTTTTTTTATTCTTTTGCGTAAAACTAAAATTCATGCCAATATTTTTCCATGATTTATAATAATTGGAGTAATGCAAATGCATATTTTCTAAAAAAAGTCCTTTTTAGTGAAATTTTGCCGGGAATGGGGCTTTAATAGACCCACATACACTTGATTTGGGATAAAATGTTCAGTTTATCACACTTTCATATTTTCAAGATATTTGAAAAAAATGCATTTTTTAGGTAACAGTGTGACATTTTTCTTAGTCGTCTTCTGTGATGTCATTCACGCGGAACGATATCCGGAAAACAAAAAACAAAAGTTTATTGTATTCACTCATGTATCTATTTTTAATATCATAATGAAATTAATCATATTTATATATTACTGGCATTTTACATGGACTTTTATTTTTCCATTATTATGAATATATTGAGAAAAAAGCAATATTAATACTAAATCATAATTTTAAATATCATATCGCGATCAATATTGAATAGCAATTATATACCTAGAAACTCTAGACATTAAGCTTTAATTTGATACCAAATTTGATATGAAAGACTACTTTTTAAATTTTTGATTTTTTTTCTCTCTGGCATGGAATTGCCCAGCTCCCTATTAATTTCTTACTAAAACACAAATAAAGTTAGGTCATCTTTTAATTTTGTATTCATCTCTGTACGGTTGTCCATTATTAGGCCTACTGTAGCGCCTCACGGAAGCCAGGGCAAAACGACGTGGTATAACATAGCGGCAGAGAGCAAGCGAAAGCATAGCTGTTTGGTAATGAATATTCATAGTATAGCGCCTGCCTGCACCCATCTAGGCCTATCCTGCTAAAAGTAAAGCCTAGGCCAAGCCTAAAGTAAAGTAACCAGGGCCTACCCTAGCCTAGCTAGGATAGGCCTTGCCCTTGCTTGCCTAGTAGTAGTAGGCCTAGTAGTAGTAGCCTAGTACTAATAGTAGGCCTGGGCCTAGCTAGGGCCTAGTAGTAGGAGCCTAGGCTAGGCCTAGGCCTAGAGTAAAGGGGAACATAAAATGACTATTGTAGAAACGAATAATAACAAGCCAGGGCGCTTACCGTATTTGAAAAATGAACAGAAGAAAGAAGATCTTCACATCCATAACTGTTTTTAATTATAAACGATTAACAAAATAAATTATCTCATTTTAAAAGATTACTGCGTTATAATGTGGTTACTTCGCACTGATCTCTTGGACAAATCTCCGACGAGGTTAAGATACCGCCACCACCTCCATACCAATTAATGGTGGCGCACTTCAACATTCTGTATTAGAGTTCCATTCTGTATATCAGAGCCAGATATGAGAATTTAGAAGCCATGCTGTGTGTCCAACGCGATTCGCGTTCCTGTTGGTATTTAAATTAATTTAATCTTTTTAGCAGTTGAATTTCATGTAACTATATTTATAAATATTTTTTTAATGATTTCACTAGTTTATATCCAATTTTATATTATATATACTGTAATAATTAATTTACTCTTTTAAGCAGTTCTTTAATCCTTGTCGATAGACGGAGAGCCCCTCGAAGTATTCTTCAATTAGGCAATCCTGCCTGCCAGATCCTGAAGTGGCTCCTGCTTTTTTTGGCGAAATAAATGATGACCAGCAAAAAATACTTAATTAATTAACTATCAGATAAGCCTATTCATATAGGCCTCTAAATATCAAAATGTAAATGTAATTAGGATTGGTTACTCTTTTATATTAGTTTCGATTGCATAGGGCCTATATGTTGTTTATGTTATTTAATTTCTGTGGGAAAAACGATAATAAAACAACAAAATATCCTAGTATTTTCCTTGAATTTTGCAAAGAGAAACAACAAGTTATTTTCGAGATCATAATCAAATAAAATAAGGCCTATTTTATCGACATTGTCGTTTTACCAACTTAGATGACTACTGAAGAAAATGTGCTAGCCATATCTTTAGGTGTTCATACTACTGTAAGGTTTCTTTGCTAAAAATCATTCCTTATTATTATTATTATTATTATTATTTATAGTAATAAATATTAAAAGAGTAAATGTCAAGTGGGCTGCATCATTTTCGTTCGCAAATTGATAGTACACCTAATTATCACTGTCAGGAAATTATTTATCAAATCAGTGTTGGCAGCCCAATTTTGAACAGCCAGATTCATTACTTTTAGCTTTTTTGGCCGCCGGCTTTAGTGATTTCAATGATCCGTAAATAGGGTATCTATGTTGTTGTTCTTTAAAATTAAATATGAGCGAGCCCTATCTTGTATAATATTAATTTGATTATTATTTATAAATATTAAACTAGTATAGGTCAGTTGGATGGCCGCAATATATAAACTGATATTGTGTAGGCCTACGTGAAGAGCAAAACATACCTGTTTTGACAAGAAAGGCAGGTCTTTTCAGACATTGATTAAAATAGACGAACGTTTAACATTCCAATTATAATATATATGTAATTCCATGTAATTCGCATTTAATTATCAAGCGCGTGACACGCGTAAATATTCGAATTCTTAAGATAAATAGAATCACGCTTTTGATATTAAGTAGTTATTAATTAAGTAATAACATTAGTAAACACAATTAAACATGTGAAAATACTGTGTAATATACCGAACTCATATACATTGCATGTGTTCATCGGGAAGATTTGGACACAAAAATAGACGCCGTGTGTAGGCCTACCACGGGACTTTCGGAAACCGCGAAGAGAGGAATGTCGCAACTGTTTATAATTATATATGGCTCTGTTCCGTATTACCGTATTGTGTGTGTAATTGTGTGTTCACCGGACCACAATACAGTTTACCGGGTCTTGTATACTGTACTGTATATTTTAATGTGTGTTATCAATTGGCAAATTATAAAAGGCAGCACTCTGAGACTAACTTTGATGTAATTTATTCAAAGTTGAATAAATTACATCAATTATTCAAAGTTGAATAAATTACATCAAAGTTAGTCTCAGAGTGCTGCCTTTTATAATCTGTGTACAGTATATTGTTTAGACTTTAACACGGCTTCATTACAACTTTTATCAATTTGCAAGAAATTGTTTTTTCTAATTTTCAGTTGAGAGGTTAACTTATTGAAATATACAAAGTATAATTTTATTTTTTTTAATTTTTATAGATTATTTGAATAACATGGCCTAAAAATGTTGGGTGTCTCCTTGAGGTTTGGTTTCCAATAAAATGGTCAGGAGAGAACCTGTGTGTTGAAATATACTGTAGGGTAGGGGATTGTGTTAGTTGGTATCACGAACATTCACAAACATAAGAACCTACAACAAAGACTGGAGATCTAACAACTCAATTAAAATGTCTTTTTATATACAGTATGTATTAAAAATTATGTGTCTGGTAGTTTATTTCTCAAGAAATAAATTTTTAAACAATCCAGTGATTGTGACTGCAGCTGACGAGTGCTTATCTTGTAAAGGCTTTACTTTGTTCGGATATCGGTTGTTTTAAATTTCATTTTTATACAGTATTTAATTTTACATAACATAGATTAAAGAAAAGATTAAATTTTCCTTTTTTCAGTTCCAAGTATTTAAAATTGGAAATGTCGTCTGGGCCATATATGGACACCAGTTTTCGAAATAAAGTTTATCATTGTTTTCATGTTCTACTTCTACATTCCTCAAAGCCTATGCAGCATCTGGACGAAGCGATAATATCAATGATAACAATAAGTATAACATCAATTTAATGTATTTTTATAATCACAAATATTGCAAACATAAAAAAGCAGTTTCTATCCACTCTTATATATATTTCAATTTTATATGCGGTTTTGTATATGAAACCAGTTTTTTAAATAAAATTTATCATCCCCGTCGCTATCGTCATCATTATCATCATCGTCGCCATAATCATCATCATCGTCACCATCATCATTATAATCATCATCATCATTTATATCTGGAGTAATCGGTTTCTTAATCCCTCTTATTAAACTGCTGGAGTTTGATCACAAATTTTTACTCCTCTAAATATCTTCTCTAAAACCATGGACGTACAGCATCAAATTTTATACCTCCATTCTAAAACATAACTTTCATTTAAAAAAATAACAATGTATCCAAATACGGTAGTCTTTTTCAGCATGGTAATCACTTTAATGTATGTACTGTAGTCACAAATATTGTAATCAGAGGCTAACTTTAAAGCAATCTATTATTATTTTTAAATCATGCTTTATCAATCAAGTACGTTTCTTGATTACAATAAATACTGCAATAATTGGACGCCATTTATTGGAAAATTAGTACTCTACAATTTCTGTTATTTTAATATCTAATGTACCGTACCAAAATCTGTAAAATAAAAATCAGTTTTTTTACAAAATCTATATTGGATACATTCCCTCAGATATAGAGCTGATTATGCATTCCATGGTGTTAATAGTAGGGCTGGAAAAAGTGCACAACCACGGGACTGGCAGTTGGAGGCATATAATTGTCTCAGAGGCCTTTTGGGGGAAAAAAAATAAAATGTTGGGTTATATAGTGTACAGGTAACATCTGATGCTGCAGGCATTTTATCAACACAATTTTCATGGTTCATTCAGCTTCAATCATCATCAGGAGAATAATAATAAATTGTCAAGAATTGTGAAGCATATATATATTTAGGCCTTAGATGTGCTAATAAACTGAAATAAGAAATATTAACCAGAACTCCTTCGTTGAATGGTCTGGTAATTTATGAATATCATAATCATTTATTGTAAGCAAACTTTTTTAATAATTTAATAATAATCATTATTTTTTTTAAATGATCAAAAATATACAGTACACCCTCGAATCCAAGCCCACTCTAATCTTGAGACCACTTTTTCAAACAACCAAATAACAATCTTCAATTTATCTTATAACACAAAGTTAATCCTCTAATTGGAGATCATCCTCAAGACCACCCCAAATTATCAGGTCCCAAGGGTGGTTTTAAATTGAAGGGTGAATTTATTCGAGACCCCACCAATTCCGAGACTTCTCTAATTTGAAACCAATTCTTTCATAGAACCAAATAACAATCTTCTTTTAACACAAATATAAACCCCAAGACCACCCCAAATTTTCAGGTCATAATCTCAAATTGGAGGGCAAACTGCTAATTAAAGAAGATGAAAAACACCATTTTAATGATATAATAAGTGGTAAGTTGTACATTCCTATTTTTTGTTTCATTTATTACAAAAACCAATGCAGTTGAGTATGAAGGTAATGGGTGGCAATCCAAGTTAAACAAAAATTACTGTAAATTATTGTCTATGATGCACTTTGACCTGCTTTGGATTTGGAAAAAGATGCTTTAATTGCATCAGTGGCCTCAGCATCAATGTTCACAAGTCGAATTTCTTCTACGTTTTTAAATGTTTCATTCTCTACAAATTTATTAACAGCTTCAAATAAGGCATCTGCACATTCTTTCTTCTGTCCTCCAAATATGCCAGAGCTAATTAATGGAAGTGCAATAGATTTAGCTTCAAGCTCTTCATCTGCATATTTTAAACAATTCTTAAATGTTTCCTCCAAAAGAGAGTGAAAATGGCTGTCTCTACCACGAATTGGTCCAACAGCATGCAAGACATACGTTGCCTTAAGATCATAACCATAAGTGTGCAACACCTCTGACACGTTCAAGGCACTTCCTCTTTGTTTGAGTTTATCTTTACCTTCTTTATCGATACCTATTCCAGCTTTCACAGCAATAGCTCTTGCAACACCTCCTCCGTGCTGAAGTCTACCATTCGCTGCATTGACAATGACATTAACCTCCTCCCTGGTGATGTCACCACGCCTGATGATGACTTTGATCTTTCTTTCTCCTTTTCCTATTAGGAATTCTTCATCATCATTTAAATTTTCCTCAGACTCAGAATTTTCTCTTGATTCTCCATTCTCAGCAATGCTTCTTTTGCATTTGCTGGTCTCTTTTGTTTTTGAGGATGTTGATTTTTCTGATCTCGTTTTGTCATTGCCTTCATCAGGCTCACCTTTCTCTCCATTATTGGACATTGTTTTGTAAAAGTATTTCCATGCAACTACAACAACCAACAATCCCACTCCGACTGAGATAATAGTCTGTTTATTTTCTGTAAGATTAATAATTGTTAAATTAATTATTGTAATGACCTCAAGAGCATAAATACACTTTCTCATTTTAAACTTTAACATTAATATTAAAGTTAACCAGTATAGATGATCTTTTATATTTAATATATTTTCTTCAATTTAGTTAGTTGTTTTTTTTTACAGTACTTAAAGTGTGTTCCTACTTCCTTTTTATTATTTATTTGTTGTGATTCTATGTTAATGATGTTGCTATGTATGATGGTATTGCTGTGAATGATGATGACGACAATCAATAATATGACATAGTGTATGATAATGATATAACATTATGATAATACGACGACAACGATGACGACGACGACGACGATGACATGATTATAAATGATGATGATCTGAATTCTTGTCCTCATGTTATCTAAAAACTCTATAACGGAAGGTTGTATCACATTATTTTTTTCTGGAAAACATTCTTAAAAGACTATTCTACCACACTATATGATTGAGAAAAAAAAATGGAAAATGTTTTTTGACCTCAGAAATCAAGATGGAAAAAGAAAAGAAAGTATAATACATACTCCAAGTATTGAAATACACGCCATCGTGTTGGGATTCAATATTTCGACATTAATTATGTCATCATCAGGAATGATGAAAAGAAAAGCATATCTAAGTAGTGTATTAAAATAGGTCTATGCATTACAGTGCCAGCATTGTTTTAGTTACCATATGAGAGTTTCCTGTGTTAAAAACAGTATGTACTGTACAGTACAGTACTATACTTCTTTTTAAAACATAACTTGAAGAGAAATCTGTATATTATCTGTACCTGGAACAGTAACAATATGAAAGTATTATGCTACTGCACTGTAATGCATAGGCCTATTTAATATTTTAATACACTAATTTGAATTGATAGGCTTTTCTTTTTCCCTTGTTTTCAGAGGTCAAAAACATTTTTCAATTTTTTTTCAATGATAAAAAATGTATTTGGATACGACGCCCCGTTATGGAGTTATGATTTTTAAAATTAAATAACATTTAAAGAAAATCAGCCCAAAAGCTTATCTTATTTCTGTTGGTTACGCGCCGCCGATTCGCAATGTTTGTCATCACTTGTCTAGTCTACCGATTCGTGGAAAAGGCCTATTTTTAGTATTAAACAATCAAGATAATAGTAGTATACCTAGCCCTACTTACCTTGTTTATACCAGGGAGTTGTTATAGAGACTATGGTAACTCCCCGTGTAACTCCCTGGTTATACTATGCATTAGTAGCTAGGCCAGGGAGTTGTTGCCTAGAATAGGCTTACGGTCTAGACCTAGGATTGATGAACTGGAGATAATCTAGCCTAGCTAAGCAACTTGGAAGTTGTAGCAGGCTACTTACTGTAACAGTACAAAAAATATGCCGAAGCCATTGTTAATGTTGGCCTCTATCCTGACACCCATCATTCATGGACCATGGCCTAGAGAGTGTATGGCTAGACCATAAGGATGGGCATTCAGGAAAATACCAAATTAGTTTTGTAAAGAAACAACAAACCTTTCAGTGCATTCCTACACCATGCTTGCCAGGCCGAAGCCGTACTGTTCAAATAATCTTGGCTTTGCATCCTCCTGCCTGCTTTTCTCTCTTTCCTAGCCTTTGCTATGCTTAACCGATACGCGTCACACATTGCATGATCAATTTTTTTTTCTTGACTATGGAACGCCGAATTAGCCATTATGTACTTATAATCCTAATTTAGATTCAGAACCATGAATTCCATTCAATTCAATTCTTTTTTTCAAACAACATGTCGATATATTTTTAAAAAATCAAGAAGCAATACAATGGTTGTGCAGTTAGGAATACTGTAGTCCAGTACCGGTAAGAAGATTCTGAAATATTGGATATGTTGTAAAATATACACGAGTAAATAAAAACTTTGCTAAGCTGGTTGGCACAGCAGAGCGATCTGAAAACATATTTTAGATATAAAGAAAGCATACACGCTGCTAATATTTGCGTCTGGCAATATAGTTAAAATGTTATCAAAGACAGAGCATGCCTTATAGATGAATGCTAATGACTACCATACCGGGTGATTCATTTTCAAAATACTGATGATGAGGTGCCGTTTCAAATGTTTTGTGCTGGTGAATTCAGTTGACCTTTCTCGAGTGTCAATCAAACTAAACAGTTGACCAATCAGATCGCCTCTAAGAATACTCCCATCCCATCCACGAACACGTAGGCCTATTCCCGTACGTTTTATCTTTTTGTAGGACCTAATACCCAAGAGGCGGTGCTTGATTGAAAGGCCCATTACCGTGGTCTCCACTCCGTCTATTTAAAATTTCCTTTTGAAATAAAACCTATTATTATTCCATTTGATCTTCTGTCTCTTTCATCCCCTTGGCCATCATCAAACTGATAAAACATGTTTCTATTTCACCGGCACCGTGGTGATCTCCAGGTCCCCGGTTCAATTCTCATCGCTGCCTCTCCTTGTGTTTCAGCTAGAGGGCTGAAACACAAGTTACAATAGTGCACCGTCTTTCGGATGAGACGTTTAAGCCGTAGGTCCCGTGTGCATTGTGGCCCATGTGCACGTTAAAAAACGCAGTACACTGTTCGGAAAAGAGTAGGGGATTGTCTCCCGGTGTACTGACCAATCACCACCAGAAGGACCCCACTGGAAATAAGTCTTATTCTAGACTTTCGTGGGCTATTCTTGGTGTTTACACCGAATAAATCCAATCCAATCCAATCCACAGTAATAATAATATGATACCGGTACCTGTTGGTACCGGTACTATTGAAAGTCAGTAACATATTTGAAACTTTTAAGATAAATATTTCTCAAATTGATTTCTTTTAAGGATTTCCTCAATTTTATCACAGAGAATTATAGCCTATGTCTATACATTTTATCAGTTGCCTTGTGCTTAGTTATTACAATATTTTGAAAATGCACATAATATTATTGATTCCTGAATCATAGTCTTGTTTAATTTTTGTCCATTCGACATTTTAGTAGGCGTATACAGTACATAATATCGAATTATGTCTAACGATTGGAATTCAATAATATGATTGACATATTTTAAAACTTTATATCAAAATCGATATGCATGACTAATGTACGAAATTAATTAAGTTACATTATCAAACATTATGTACAACGTGGTTACTTTTAAATCTAGAGGGCATTCTAAGTGTGTATGCCTCCGCCCATATTATATATCTTCTCTGTATGAATTTCCCACACATATATTGTCCCCATGAAAAAAAAAATGTATTCAGTGTAGTGCTGATATCTAAATGGTTTGACCGGTAATAAGATGTTAAGTTTAGTACGGACAATTAATTAAAGATAATGAAAGCAATAATAAAAGACATCATGAGATTCAAACCTGGGATAGTGTGAAAAACACTCTTCTAATCACTCGACCAAACTGTTTTCTTCTGCAGTGCTGTGAAAATCAATACCAACATGTTTTGTTACACTTCTTCAAAAACCCTGTATAAGTACACAGACACACGTCTGTATAAACAGACAGATAAAATGTAGTTCGTTCATTCTTTTGTGAGTTATGCGCCCTGAAGGACACTTATGCCAGTATAAATCTGAAAACTCTATAGAAAAGGTTATTAGGGCAAATAAATTTTTTTATTAGGTTATCACTCCCGCCTGCGTCAAAAATTCGGGAAATATTGATGCGGGAACTAAAAAAAAATGTATTTTGTGACTTCAAATACAATTTCTTTAAGAAACTATAAAATTAAACCAATTTTTATACAATGTTTACTATTACAGACCAAATATAAACAGTCCCTCCCTCATCGATAAAAACAAAATCGAAATAATCTATTGTTCAGATTAAAAAAAAAAAACGCCCTCCCTCATCAATTTTTTTTTATAGAGTGATAATCTAATAATTGTTTCTATGTGCCCTTATAGGTCTAAGTAATAAAATGCAGCATTCGTATCATAGGACAATTTTGCAGAATAAATTAAATATTTTACACATTTGTTACATTATTTTATTAAAGAAATACTGCGGTTTATCATGTTGGAAATTCATGGTGCATTTGGCGTAAAATACAAAACACATTAAATTACATCACGATTCGAATTGCACTAGAAATATAACTGTAAAATTGTTTAATCAAAAGGAATTAGTTAAAAATATAAGTAGTAGTACACTGTTATTTCGGACTACACCATCAATTTAAAAATAAAAAAAATAGATAAACAAATTATAATACATCACATCATTCACAAAAAAATACTATAAACTTGCAATGTGCTCAACTATAGACCTATTGCTTTTACCCCAGAATGTGATTGCATAGGCCTATTAGATAAAACAAGAAATAAATAAAGAATATGAAAGTATATAAAAATACAGAATTATCAAAGTACAGTATAGTGAGCTTTCTTTTAAAAAACGTTAATTTAAAAAAAAATGGAACATAGAAATGATTTATTGCGCTAAAAAAATCCTAATCTGAAAATGTAATATTACATATTTTAAAACTTTATATCAAAATTGATATGCATGACTAGGCCTAATGTATGAAATTAATTTAGTTTACATTATGAAGCACTATGTGCATCGTGGTTACTTTTAAAACAGTATCAATATCACATGGGGTGATTTTTCTATAGCTGTCTCTATTAGCATCTATCGTTACCATTTTGCATCTAAATTTCCTCTGTGGCACCGGCCTTCTGTCATTTAATTTAAAGCCACAATGATGGAGAAACGCTCGATCTTCTGCATATAAACAAACTCTTCAACCCTTTCCGAAGTTCAGTCAGTCGAAATGCGTATATGATCGGATTAGCCAGTGTGTTCAATCCACTCATTATATTGGTAATAAGGACCATGCTAAGAATAGAAGAATTAGCTCTACAGTTCACACCAATAATATTAAACATAATTGTGCTTATTGCGAATGGACTCCAGGCTATAGCAAACATTCCTACTGTAATACTAAATGTCTTCAGCAGTTTCTTTAATTCTGTCATCTCTTGTGACGAAACATTGAAGTTTTCTCTTTGTTTGCATAATTGATAGTATATATTTGTATATAGAAACCCGTTGAGAAAAATAATAACCAGAGTAAGCACTGCGTAAACATTGATCATAAGATCAAAGCTTACATGTGAAGCAAGTAGGAGGCATGTTGTTGGACAAACAAGAAGAACTACACACGCGAATTTACACGCATTTGTTGTGACTATGGATGCGTATCGTAACGGCGCCCAGACCAGTGCCAGCGAACGATCAAGAGCGACGACACATACAGTGGACGAAGACGTTAGCAAGAACCCATAGGAAAAAACGTATGCATAGGGATGAAAAATGTGGCCGCTTAACTGGACTGTCACTGCAGTAAGACAGAAAACTCCCACGCAATCCGACAATGCCAACAGAAAGATAAATATGTTGTGTTTCTGACGCAATATTTTTGATTTTGCAATCATTACCATATTCAGGGTGTTCAAAGATATACACACTGCAAGAAGTATATAAATCAAAGGTAAAATTGCTCTGGCAAAAGGGTAATACATTATTTGATGGTACACATGAAAGAGGCTCTCGCATTCGTTGTTACTTTCATTGGTATTGTTTACCGGTACCGGATCTTCTGATAAATCTTCCATTATAAATTCAGCCTATCGTCTGCCACCTAAAATCTTAATAGAAACGAGTTTTTCACAAAGAAGAGCACGTTTGCTTGAAAATGGACAATGACACTAAGAAAAAAAAGTGGATCCGAATATGAACAAAGTAGACATACCAATGTTTTGACTGGATGAGTTGGAGCTCACGTCTACCTAGTGAAAGTCTTCCATCTTATTACAATGACATGAACAATAATTATATACTATAGAGTAACAGCTAAACAATACCGAAAGCGAAATACTTAATAATATTGCAGTGAACTAATTTACCGTTCAGTAGGCATATCAAAAGTAAATTCTTGCAAATAAATCAAAAGGATATCTGCCAATCGTGTTGCTTGACACATATCAATACACATGACAGTCAAACGAGAAATTCTAGAAGGGGAGTTTACCAAAAATCAATATTAATAAAGAATCCTTCTAAATTTGATTTTAAAACGTCACGTTGAACATTCAGATTCAAATTATTTTATTGACATCACTATTAATGTCGATATACAAAAGACAAAACGAATCAAAGGGGGAGTGAGTGAGAAAGTTTGGTCAAAAATTCCACACTGGATCTTCTTTTGGCGATTTAAATGACGCCCGATATGATCATTTCAGACGCGGTAAAAACCGTCGAAGGTACGGTCCTAATCACTTTCAATTAATGAGCAGCATCGACTCGGACAGTAACGTGGGTTTTATGTTTCTTCATAATTTTGACTGATTTCCGTTTAACTCGATTAGGCCGACAAAAGTACACATTAAGGCTAAACCTATATGATATGCCTAGTCGTAAAACAAATTAAAAACTATATTTTTTATCCCAAATGTTAATAAACACAATAATTCGAAATAAATACAGTGTATTCTGTTCCTTCCTCATTGTTTACTCGCGGCCATCGTTTCTTCACTCGGACAGGGATTTCGGCAAAGTTCTTTACCGAGCATGCTTATGACCATGGACCTAATAAGAGCTTATGTCTATAAGCAAAAATTAATGATTCGCACTATTGGGCGGACTGCATAAAAGTTTTTGCGCCACCAGTGGATTGCGAAGGTAAAACGAACTCTGGTATCACAAGAGAAAAATGTGCAATAAACACTATAGAAACGTAATCACGCTCTAATTATTATTCTTAAACATTGACGAAAAACTTGGTTAATGAGATAAAGAGCGCTGAATGAGATTTTTGAATATTTAAAAAAACTTGGGATATAAAAGGGGTAGATCGTTGGAATTATAAAATTTCATTGACGTTTGCCTCAAACTGTCTAAGCAAATAAATTCTTCCGTACAGTAGCATACAGTACTGGGGAAATGTAGGCCCTACGTAATAGTCGAACCAACAGTCTAATATGAAAATGTTATCATGATTTTAAAAATACATCAGATTATTATCTTTTTTTTAATTACTTTCATAATTCTGTGTAATGTTTTTCAATAAGACCAATAACACATGCAACAGTAATAATTAGAACAAGAGTACAAACTTTTTTTTTTGTTGTTCTTTTGATTAAAATGTTTAAACTTTATTTAATATTTGTTATATAATATAAAAATTAAACAATGTGTAACAATAGGCCTATATTACGCTTATTTTGTCAAATGACGACGCGATACAAAATTAAGATCTAAATTGTGCCAAAAAAGACATTAAAATACAAACAAACATCCACACCCCAACCCCAGGGCCTCTGGCCCCTAGCGCCTTCGGCCCTTTGTTACGCCACTGATCCTTTGTAGTTCCGCATTAAAATTTACAATTTTGGCATCCCCAAAATGGGAACCACCATACGCCCTGGGCATTACCTCAATAATTTTCAAGTGTAGGCCTAGTCTTTCTGGATGATGGTTCGTACTCTCTCTCTCTCCCCTCCACTCTCTCTGTCTCTTCCCTCACTCCATCTCCCCACCCCCTCTCTCTCTCTCTCTCTCTCTCTCTCTCTCTGGTGTTCTACATCTACATGGTTCCGATACTCTATTCTCTTTCTTACATAAATGTTGTTACTAATACCTCACTTTCTATCTAAACTTACTAGTATGCAATTTAGAAAATACAAGATTCCTTCGATCGATCGTTGTAAATTCCCAGATATTATGTGCACGAATTTGTAAATGTATCCCCTTTTAGAACACAGGTATCATAGTCAAGCCAGGACGTCAGTCAAAATACGGTATTCGAAACCTTCAATAGTACCAATGCCTAATCATTAGTAATTAATATGGATCAGGGGAGGATTTATGAGAAGGGGTGTGGGGCCGGGGAGGCGGGCCGGGCCCCACACCCCCCAACCTCCCTTTTGGGAGTCAAAAGTCAAAAAAATAATATAAATAAAGGTAGAAAGAAAAAGAAAAATTTGATCACCCAAAACGCCTCATAGGTTATTTTCGGGCGTCTAAAACACAAACATTTCCGGAAACCCTAGGATAGTGTTATCTCAGTCGGGCCATTCCCCCACCCCCGCTCTCCCCTTTTCGGACAACTCCGGATCCGCCCTTGATACCTGTTTCATTGGTGTTATTGTTTTAAAGCAACAGTGACGGAGAAACGCTCAATCTCCTGCATGTAAACAACTTCTTTAATCCTTTCCGAAGTTCAGTCAATCGAAATGCGTATAAGATCGGATTAGCCAGTGAGTTTAAGACACTCAATATATTGGATCCAATGATCATGTTCAAAAGAGAAGAGTTGACCTCACATGTCTCAACGCTATGTAACACTATTGTGCTTACTGCGAATGGACCCCATGCTATAACAAACATGGCAATTATTATACTAAATGTCTTCAACAGTTTCTTTAATTCTGTAATCTCTTGTGACGAAACATTGACGTATTCTCTTTGTTTGCACAATTGATAGTATATATTTGTATACAGAAACCCGCTGAGGAAAATACTAACCAGAATCAGCACTGCATAAACATTGATCATAAAATCAAAGCTTACATGTGAAGCAAGTAGGAGGCAGGTTGATGGCCCAGCGAACATTACGACACACGCAAAATTATACGTATTTGTTGTTATGGATGCATATCTCAATGGCACCCAGACTAGTGCCAGAGAACGATCGAGAGCAATGACACAAATAGTGCACGCAGACGATAACAGGAAGCCATAGGAAAAGACGAACATATAGGGATGATAAATTTTACTTTGAAATAGGAATGCACAGAACCCAATTAAACTTAATGCCCCTGCGATGTCCGACAATGCCAGCAGACAGATAAATATGTTGTGTTTTTGACGCAACATTTTGGACTTTGCGATGATTACCACAATCAGTGTGTTCAGAAACACAGTCAAGACAAGAATTATAAACATCAGCGGTATAACTGCTTTTGTACCATCGTAATGTACTATTTGATAGTATATACTATAGAACCGATCCTCGCATAAGTTGTGATTTTTAGTTATATTTACCGGGTTTTCGGAAAATTCTTCCATTATTCATCTTTCCTTATCTGCCATTTGTTATTATTTAGACCGTCGAGTCACTTCCACATTGCCACAAAACAAAAAGTTGTTTGCTCAATGAATCGTGAATTTTGTATAAGTTATCGAATAATCCGAATGTGCCATCGAGTAGGCCTACCAATATTCTAGATGAATACAGTTGAGCTCTAGATAAGACAACCCAACAAAATCAGCCATAGTATTATTACTGGTACCATGACAACAGCTAAACAACTCACCAATTTATCAAACGTCAATCTTAAAGCCCTGTCCAGGCTATTAAATTTGATTTGACAAAAAATGTGACGGCATGATGAGGTCATATTACACCCAAATATGGGCATATCACATGTACCTGACTACTGATAGTTTGGAGAGTGCAGTCTTTAAGACCACATCAACACGCAACAATCATAATATTGCTTGACGACGCTAAAATGAGTACTAAGAATAACTTCAAACTGAAATATTCTAAAATCAGAGTTTACATCCTGAAAAGTTAATGTATCTTTCATTATCAAAATAAATCGATAGTAATGGTACTCATTAAAAATTGATCTTAATAGCGTCACATTGATGTCAGCTGCTTCAGTTAATAACAGCCAAATTGACATGATTTGCTCCATCAGATACGACTAAAGCCAAACATAACATCTAGATTTGATTAAACCTTCAAATTTTGTTTATTCATTCAATTAACAAAAAAAACCACACATATTAAAAATGATGATGCTCTTGATGTTGATGATGACGATAATGATGATAATGATAACGGTGATGTTGGTGGTGATTATGACGATGGCAAAGATAAAGACGATTCAGTTCATGATGATGTTGATGACAATGATGATGAAAAAGATATATTGATAAACGCTAAGAGCAAATACGAAGCCTGTTTTACAATAGGCGAATCTATTTGCGCGAATCGAAGGAGTCGGTTCGGTTCCTGAGCTCTGATTAGTTGTGCAAGTAGAAACAGTTCGAACTACCAATTTCGCTGAAGCGAAAATTCCGACAGAAATGCGAATGCGCATGCGCATGAACCGACCATTGCAAAGATTGAAAGTCGAGATCAAAATGTAAATTGAAAAAAAAAATAAACGATTTAAGTAAAAGCAATAAAGAGCATAGCATTCTTTAATCAATGCAACACCTTGCAAACTAAATGCATTTATTTACAGTACAGTAATTTTGTACACAAATATAAAGCTAAAATGTTATAGGCCTACAAAATGATAAAAACAGTTTATATTAAAACCTAGACAAAAAAAATCAACCAAACCGAAGCCTACAAATGATATGGCAATCAACTCGTTAAACATTTACAGCCAACCAAAAACAATAAGAAAAACAATCATACAAAATAACCTGATACGTTATCTGCTATGAATAAGTCACAGTTCGTAAAAACTACTTTATGATTTAAAGAAGTTTTACTTAAATTTGATGCCAGTACTGTATTAATATGTAAAACGGTACCTATAGAAAAGGTATTATTAATATTTCCGTTTTTGTTAAGATATTGTTTTCTCGTTTTAATTTTCAAGAAAATATTTTACTGATATATAGATATTAGGAAATTTATTATTATTTTTTAATTTATTGATTTTGATTTTGGTGGCAGTATACCATTAAAGTACACATTGTAAGTTTTAATTAAAATCATATGACGCAGCAAAATTTTAAATTAAATTATGTAACACACCGCATGCTATGTACATTGCTGTTTTTTCTTTTGGTTGTAAAATTTAGCCTACTACTGTAAAGGCTTTATATTACAAAATATTAGTAATAAAATACATAGCGTTTGTATCTTTGAAGACTAAATTAAATACTTTACACGAATTTTGCATACAAAAAGCAAATGTTATTCAAGAAATACTGCGGTTTATATTAAACACTATAGCTTTTGGCTGAAAAGAGGTAACTATATTTATAACATACTGTACTATTAGTTGCCATCTATGGCAATCAAATCTTAATTGTACACAAAAATAGCTATATATCACAACACATCAATTATATCATGTGCAACCATATTCAAAAGAGTTTCTGCATAGTAAAGGAAGGTGATAATGTCATTGGTGATGGTGGTGATGATGAAGGTGAAGACGCCGACGATGATATCATAACAAATTTTCTAAACCAGATGTATGCATAAACATTCTATTAAATCCTTATGAGAAATTGTTTAACTATTATATCAATTTGTTGATAACATGATTTTGTAAACATTTTAACAAACAGTGATGATGATGATGATGACGATGGTGATGATGAAGACGATGGTGATGATATCATAACAAATTTTCTAAACGAGATGTATGTATATACATTCCTATAACGTTCTAATACAAGCTGTTGTACTAACTTGTTGATAGCATGATTTTGTAAACATTTTTACAAATAGTTATATAAGTAGTAGTAAACTGTTATTTCACATTATACACCACATACATACATTCAAAGAATCCGATTGGTTAAGAAGCGGGCAATAACTTCAATGATCACTCCTATGATGAAAGTTGAATGATAGTTCATAAATTCTTGGGGGAAAAAAGTACTTAAATGATAGTACTTTTTTGCCCTGTCGCAATGTAATCTCTAGGCCCCACATATAACGTGGTTGCTATGCAATCTATGACATGCGACCTCTCTATGGACGCTGAGAGAGATTGGCCCTTACTGTAGATCACCTTTTGGGAAAAGGTGAAATCTATAGCTCCTCGGGGATGGGCCCTTGGGAAGATAGTACTCGTTACTTGTATAGCGCCTTTCTTTTCAGTTACAAAGCGCTGAAGTTCTTTTTGCTGCTCATTGGGTCTACATGCTAAGTGTTGCTGCTGGTAATCAGCGCAGGAGCAGGTAACCCCACCAGGTCCCCATTTATACTCCTGGGTGGAGAGAAGCAATGCAGATAAAGTGTCTTGCTCAAGGATACAAGCGAAATGCACAGCGAAGGATTGAAACCCTGACCTCGAGGTTGGGAAACTAAACCGTTCCCGCTGCGCCAAACCGCTTCCAATAGTAGGGCACAGTCTCCACATTACCTCGGGGCAATATATTTCACCATTCCCCTCATGAGCTGTTAATATTTGTATACTATCCCATAAATTTACAAAACATAAACAAATTATTAATACATATCATACCATTCATTATTAGAAAATACTAAACACTTGGAATGTGCTCATATTGCTTTTACCCCAGCTTGTAGATTGCATATTAGGTATATAAGCAACAAATAAATTAGATTATCATATAAAAGTGTACAAAAATACGAAATTATCAAAGTATAGAGAACTTTTTAAAAAAAAAACAGGTAATTTTATGAAGTTAAACAGAATGGAATGTATAAATGACCAATTGCACTATAAAAGTCCTAATCCGTAAAATGTAATACTTTCAGAAGAGATAGATGCACAGAAGACTTTCACCCAGTTACATAATCCAAGCAAATTTAACCCATAGTTTTAAAAGTAGAAAAACCTACAAGTTTTTACTGCAGTAGATTACATATAGCAGAAACATGTGGTACAAAAGTAAAAGTTTGGGCTTCGAAAATAGGTCAATAGGTTGAGATATTGTGTACCAATGGTAAGGCACTTAATGTGCAATGCTTCTATATGCTAAGAGTTAAAATGTATACCTGGTTGGCAGCAGGAGTGGACTCCCCAACACAAGGGATTGGGAATGGTTGCAATGTGTGTATCAATGCATAATTATTGGATATATTAATCCAATGACAAACAACTAAAGCACTTTTAAAGTCTAATTTATACTCTATGAGTAACATAAATTACAAATATAATATTACATAGAAATCTTTAAAATAGAACATCCACTAATATGAAAATGCACTACACACACCTTAGCTAAGCCCTGACCATGGTAGGGCTGAGGTGGACTGAGATGGGTGTGCACCCATTTTTGGGAAGGTTCAACCACCTATAGGGAATCTTCGGCTCCTTTAATAATGAAAAATAGTATAAAAAGAAGAGCAAAGTAAGGACCTAAACAGACTAATCAACAACAGCAAACTTAATATTTGAATTATCAGACAAGCTTAACCCACTGAGCATACAGAGCATTTTAAACCATTACATGGACGAGGAGTTGTGGCAAGAAATATTTAAGGCCCTTGCTTGTGGAATTTTTGAAGCAACATCAATTTCTTATGACAGCATTCATACTTGAACTCTTTTTGCCGAGCTTCCTGTTTGCAATATCATAAAATATGATAACCGAGCCCCTTCAATTTGGGGTCAAAGCCATAACAGTAAAGCTCCCATACTTATGTCCAATTAACCTAGGTTATGATAGGTATCATACCAGATCTGCCCTGATTTCTTCAATGACCTGTTTTAAAACAAACAAAAAAAATGTTAACACAATTCATATACCGTAAAACTTTGAATTGAAGCCCTGGCTTTCTTTTTTTGGTGAACTTTGGATGGGCTTCTTATCGAGATGGGCTTCTTTTCGAGATGGGCTTCTTTTCGAGGCTACTTTTGCAAAGTAAAGGGGGGGCGCTTCTTTTCAAAATGAATGCTGTAAATTTTATGAATTTGTAAAAAAGCCCACTGTAACATCAATCTATATCATGGAGTGTATTTAACTAGCGTTAAATCACCTAAACTACTGTATAAACCAAGCCTGTATTTAATTTATTTTGTTTTCTGAAATTCATGTACAGTGTATGTAATGTACTATCTCGAAAAGAAGCCTATACTATCTTGAAAAGAAGCACTGGGCTTCTTTTCAAGGCTAATTTTGCAAACTAAAGAGGGAGGTTCAAATTGAGATGGGCTTCATCTTGAGATTAAGCCCACTGGACTTCAATTTGAGCACCATATTTACAAATATTTACCAAATACCAGGGTTATACTAACATTTCAAGAAATTTATATTTTTCAATATTAATGCTAAATCTACAATATGGTGTGTTTGAATATATATTTTTTAATTGTTATAAAGCTCTGTCAGACATTAAATTTTCTTTAACAAAAAAACTTGTGTATGCCCATATATAGTCATGATGTGCCCATATATGGTCATGATGTGCCTATATATGTTCATGATGTCTGTCTCTTATACACATCTAGATGTGTATAAGAGACAGGCAGTAGATTACATATAGCAGAAACATGTGGTACAAAAGTAAAACTTTGGGCTTCGAAAATAGGTCAATAGGTTGAGATATTGTGTACCATGGTAAGGCACTTAATGTGCAATGCTTCTATCTGCTAAGAGTTAAAATGTATACCTGGTTGAGGCAGCAGGAGTGGACTCCCCAACACAAGGGATTGGGAATGGTTGCAATGTGTGTATCACTGCATAATTATTGGATATATTAATCCAATGACAAACAACTAAAGCACTTTTAAAGTATAATTTATACTCTATGAGTAACATAAATTACAAATATAATATTACATAGAAATCTTTAAAATAGAACATCCACTAATATGAAAATGCACTACACACACCTTAGCTAAGCCCTGACCATGGTAGGGCTGAGGTGGACTGAGATGGGTGTGCACCCATTTTTGGGAAGGTTCAACCACCTATAGGGAAGATACTAGAAATACAAGATAGAGTTCTCCACACAAAAAAAGTGTTCCACCGAAATGCATGGTGGGAATACGAAAAATGGGACGCCCCCTACAGC